TGAACCCCGTCCGGCGCGCCGCCGCTCACGAGCAGCCAGAACGCACCTGTGCGTATCACGCGTTCGGGGGGCGCGGGGGGCTGTCCCAAAGTTGAAATTTCGGCTGTAACACACCCATTCCTCATGTACCTAGGTAATGAGAATCCTCGTCCCACATCTCTCAAGTTCGCCTGTGTCCTCAACACATCGTCTCCCTTCGAATTGTGCACGCTGTCACCTGTGTCCTCCAGCATTTCGTACACAGGCGACCCTCTCGCCCTTGTCCGAGCCCAACCCTTCCCGCTGGCCAGCGAAAAGCGACCCCCGAACGCATGCCACCCACAGGTGCGTTCTGGCTGCTCGTGAGCGGCCGCGCCCCCTAGTCCATACGCATCTCCCAGACGCACAAACGCCACACAGCATACGCCCCGCCACAAAATACACAATCCCCGGCGCAAAGTGCTTCGGTCTTCCTGGCTGCCGGGGCGGCGCTCGTCTTCCCACTACGTAACGTCGACGACTCTGTGCGCGGAACCAGCACTTTGGTCTCGGCTGCTCGGTGCGCGGCTCGATCCTGGCCTTCAACCACACGGGTTCGCTCTCACTTCCCGCACTCGCCAAGCCAGCCCTCGCGATGAAACCGCACCTATTTCTCTCCCCCTTCTGACTTCGCACCAAAGTGCCTGCAGGTCGCAGCGGGGCGCAGCCGCCCTGGCTGCTCGGCAGCCCCGAGTCCCTCCGTCCTCCCCCCCGTCGATTCCTCCCGCCTTCGTGACGCCCGCTCCTCTCCACCAACTTCCTCGCTGCGGGATGTCGGCCGATGCGGTGCGCTTGCTCTGCCCACGCCCGTTCCCCCTTCCCCGCGAGGTCCGCGCCCGTTCCACGACTCGCGAACACCTCCTCCCCCCCCCCCCGCCCTTTGCCCCGCCCGCCCGCCGCCCGCCGCCCGACACCCTCCTCTTTGCGCACGCGCGCAGGTCCGTGGCACCATGTCCAGCATCCCTCCGGCCCGTCCTCTTCGCCGCCATCGTCTTCTAAGCGGCGCTCCTCGGGCTCGTCCCTATTGAGGGGGCTCTCAGCTCATGAGGGGAGCCGGCCCGTGTGCGAAAGGTGCCCTCCTCCCCACCCTCCCCCCACCCCCCTCCTCTCCCC